GGGGGGGGGGGGGGGGGGGGGGGGGGGGGGTCACATTTATCAGGGTGACCTCCAGGGTAAAGGACTCCATTTATAAAACTAGCAAAACTGAAACGAATGTGAAAAATGCTTTCTTCAGTCATTTTGGCCTTCGGTCAGTCCTAGCAGAGGTCATCTGAAGAAAGTTGCCTTGGTGTGCAGCCGTGGGTTACGAATCTGCACCTGTTCCCGGAAGGTTGCTAGTTCATGTCCCGTGGCTGGCAGAGAAGTCACACGGGCACTGAGCCCCTGAGCAAGGCGCTTTACTCTAAAATAAAAAAATGTAAAAACTGTTTCTGGGTAGCACTGTCCCCCTGCTTCGCTCTCACCAGCATGTGTATGTAGTTTATAGGAGATGCAATGCAATGGGATATGTGGAGATTGAATTTCCTTGTACTTGCTACCTGTACAACGACAATACAAGCATTCAATTGTGGCTATATTTAGTAAGCTTGATGAGTGTGTGTGTGTGTGTGTGTGTATCAGGTCAGGTCGAAATGTTGAGCCCCAGACATCCTAAAGCAGTGTTTCCCAATCCAGTCCTCAGGGACCCACAGACGGTCCACATTTTTGCTCCCTTCCAGACAGTCCACATTTTTGCTCCCTTCCAGACAGTCCACATGTTTGCTCCCTTCCAGACAGTCCACGTTTTTGCTAGGTGGGAGGGAGCAAAAACGTGGACTGTCTGCGGGTCCCCAAGGACCGGATTGGGAAACACTGTCCTAAGGTGATCGACACAGGCCCTGCAGAGGTCCACATTCCTGGAAATACACAGTTGTGCTTCTTTATTTACAATGTTTACACAGAAAGAGAGCCATGCTCTAATAAACTCAGGAATGCGCCGTTCAGTATATCGTGACCCTCCCCCGGCGACAGCAACTAAAAATAAACGCAGCTCCGGACTCAAAGCACCATTTTTCTTTGGTCCATAAGGCACCAGCCTGACCCGTCTTAATAACCTCTGTCATTTCCGGAGGACTCGAAAGGGCCGGTTCCACTTGATGGCAGTGTGTACCTCAGCATCTCACGGGGCTCGGTGTGGTTCTGTCTGAGGGAGCGTTTGGGGCAGAGTCAGTAGACGTAAAAGCACACGTGTCCCAAAGAATATGGATCAAATGAAAAGCTTCCCTTATTTTAAAAAGTGGATTATAAACTGATGGAAACAAGCATCTCATTTATCTTAAGATTCCATTTTTTAACATATAATCCCTCGCATGATCAGAGGTATAGATTTCGGGTCCAGAGAGTCCAAATCCAGACCAAGATTTTGTTTCAACCAACCAGTTGAGTACTATGTGACTGTAACTCTTTATACTCAACTGGTTGGTTGAAACAAAATCTTGGTCTGGATTTGTACTCTCTGGACCTGAACCCTCCACCTCTGCGTATGATCTATACCTGCACACAAACTTTACTTCTTCTATGCATATAATGCGACTGCCTTAGGCAATCACACCAGCTGATTCTCAGCCAACAGAACTCAGGGGATAGTGCAATGATCATTGTGTAGGTTGTTCCCATGAGCGCCTTTGCATGTCTTCCAGTCACATGTCCCTTTTCCTCCAATGAGGCACGTTGGCAGGACGCAGGTCCATCTCTCCATGGGCGTAGGCACAGTTCTCGGGCTCCAGGGGGCAGCCTTGTGGATGGTGGGCATGAAACCAGCACGGCCGGGTTTTCCGTGCCTCAGTAACTGTCCGTCTGCTTCCGGGTCCAGGTTTGGACTTCCGTGCTCCAGCAGGTACACGCCAGTCACGCACAGACACCCTGCCATTCACCACTGAAAGGAGAATACTGACATTAATGCTGAAAAACCAGCGGATTCCTGTCCCAAACACAAGTACCGAAACTAATTATGAATATTATGTTATCAGTACTACAATATATTTTATCCAGCTGAAAAAAATTATTAAAACATGAAACCTATGCAGAGGCAGATACTGTGCTGAAAGAGAAGCTCACAAGAATGGGTCAGTGTACCAGAGTCCGAGGCAAACATGGTCAGCAAACAATGTATGCTAGTGTTGTGCTACATGATGGCTTGACTGCAGCAGGTGTGACACAGCAGCTGGTCATGTGACAGAGCAGCTGGTCATGTGACAGAGCAGCCGGTCATGTGACACAGCAGCCGGTCATGTGACACAGCAGCCGGTCATGTGACACTGCCCAGCCACTTCATCTTAACAAGTTGGCCAAGTGTGAAGGCAAACAAGAAACAGTCTCTGTCACCTCCTGAGTCTTTGACGGCAGTGTGCAATGCTACATGAGAAAATTAGCCCCTACTTTAGCGCGATAAAAATTACTTTGTGACCTAATGACATACAATGCACAAATAAATAATAACATATATAATTATTAACCTGTAAACCAAATGGATGTCCTGAAACTGACCATCTTGTCAAGCTGATTGCATGTGACACCTGTTTTAACCAATGATTGCATGTGACACCCGTTTTAACCAATGACTGCATGCGTTTTAGGTAAAGAGACTGAATGTGGGGACCTTCTGTACCTGTAAACACTTGGTGGTTGTTCTTCAGCAGTGTCTGCAGCCCTCCGCATTCGTTCTTCAGGGTGAGGAGTTTGTCCTTGTCCAGGAGCTCAGCTACCTCCCTGAGTGTCAGGCTTCCTGCAGGGCACAGAACTGGCTGATGTCACCAAATACACAAACTGCCTCACTCAGTTATTACTCACTCAAATCTTGGAGTCTGAGCTCACGCTGTAAGAACTCATAAGTATCTCTCCCTCTCACACAGCTATATCCTCACCGTGTAAAATGTCCCACAGCTATATCCTCACCATGCAAGATCTCACACAGCTACATGCTCACTCTGTAAGACCTCTGACAGCTACATCCTTTCTCTGTAAGATGTCACACAGTAATATCCTCACTGTGTAAGATCTAACACGGCGACATTATCTCTCTGCATGATCTCATACTTAATGTTTCACTGGCATTGTAGTTTGAACCCCTAAAATGGAGTTCTCCAGCGAGTGTTTTTTCCTTCTTCACAGTTTGAGGATAAAATTAAATTCCTTTCACAGTTAATTACCACATTGGACGGGCAAAGCTCGTTTATCTGGAAATCCAATTCAAGCCCTCTGAAGGTCTCCTCCGCCAAAGCCTGCTGTCCCTGAGGAGCCTGCATTAGCGGGCGCCCGATCGTGAGGAAGACGCCCCCCCCCACACACACACACCCCCGCCGGCGGGACGCAGAGCTGCCCTGCACTCAAGCTACAGCGGTGGGAAATTAATTACCGCTTCAAATGTCTATTTTTGACAAGGCGCGTCTTCTCACCGGATCAGCGTCGGCTGAGCACTTAAGTTCGATCTCTGCGATCGATGCGAGTATTCAATTGAAGGACGCGCCCATCTGACAAACGTGATATCTGCATTCAGGCGACCATTAGCCGTGGCTCGGATCTGGGACCCATACTCCCCAACTATTTGCTCCTTCCCATGACAGGACTAGGGGGAAATCTGACTAAAGTACAAGAGCTACTGAAATTAGCATTAGTGGGAAAAAAAAAACAGACTCAGCCTCTTCGTTACTGAGGACTACTACTGTTCTAAAAAAAGCAAGTTGAAAATAAAGTAATAAAATTAAAAATTCCAGACTGTAAGAAGGCGGCGGATCGTCGCTGATGCCACGCTTCTCAATCTGTCCTGGCATGTGACCTGTGGTTAGCCAATAGCATCGATGATGCCCCGTCCCCCCCACCCTCCCCCCTGAATTCTGGCCCCAATCCAACAGGCCATTCCTCTTCCATCTGATCACACTGACCTGGAGCTGGTGGGAACATTCGGGCCCTGGCCACGTCGCTATGGTGACAAGACCTGCTATCCGCATGGCCAGATGCGCTGTGTGAGTCATCTCATCTGACAGGGGGCTAACTCTGCCACAATCAGACATACCCTCCACCCCCCGCGACCCTCATCAAGGCTTATTAAATGCGAGGCTAAAACGGCATTCCTCCTTGGGCATCCCCTCACATCTGTCACGGCCAGCTGCAAAGAGGCATGCTTTTTGGGTGTCACTCAGATTTAGAGTTTGCCCAGATTTAAATTTAGATTGAACAGACTTAGAAGGGGGGAAAAAAAAAAACTCTTTCTCACAATGTGCCTGTAAATTAGCATCCTTATGAAGCTTAGTGCGGTTTTACAAAGCTAGACACATCTGTTTTAACAATATTTAGCAAACTGCCTACAAAGGCAAAACACAGAAACTATGCTGAAACTGAGAAAAAGGGGCTTCAAATGTTTTCGACTTGCCATCCGTAGTAGGCAGGTAAATGATTATGTGTTTGCTTCAAAACCAAGCATAGCTGAATGAAGATATTTTGTCAAGAGATAAAACAATCTAAGAGATCGAATTTTGGTCAGAAATCAATTTTGATAAAAAATATGCAGTAACTGTTTTGCCTTCATAGGGCAGCATAGTTTATCATAGCAGGAGCAATGTTTTAACAGGCGTCCTGATGCACGTGAAGCTTTCGCGCACGTACAGACGCAAGCACGTGCACACACGTGCGCCCGGTCACACGGGCCAGCGCACACACGCCGGTCAACGTGTCCCGCAGCCTGCGTCCATAAACACGCCAATCCATTACCTCACCGCAAGTCCGACGACACCGGCTACAGCAAACTGGACTCGCCTGACCTTAAAGGACGTCGGGCGGCCGATTGGCCGACAGATGCAGGGGGGAAGATCACGTTGCAGAAAAATTAGATCAGGTTTAATCCTGATTTAGCCTGCCAGATACTGGCAGAAGGCCTGTTAAACGTAACAGCAGATGCCCGCTTGGCAAACAGGGCAATAACAAAAAAGCAAAGATGGCAAGTCCTGTACAGAAGGATTGAGAGAGCACGTCCCCTGACATCGGAGAGCCGCTTCTACAAGCAGCTGAAAGACGGATTATCTCCTCTGGCTCCTTCTCAGCCTCCCTCCCAGGCTCAGTGCTAATGCACGCCTGACAACACTTAAGAGAAAAAGCAGTCACGCCAGACCAGAGGCGTCAAGGAGTGACAAGGAAACCGAAATCCTAAGTGGCATTCGCGAAGTTCCGACGCGCTCCCACGTGATTTTCCGTGGGATAACAGAAAATGCGATGGGGGGCTTGGAGGCAGACGGCCAACCTGGGAATAGGGATCCCTGGATATCGCAGATGCGCCGTTTCACCCGAGTCATTCCGTGGTCGGGAAAAACTGCGAAGCTGATTCGCCGCTGCAAAAGTGAGATAATGAAAGCATCCGGCATTCCCTGCTCACGATCTCCCCCCCTCCCCGGCACTGAGAGTCACCTTCCTTTACGGCCCCTAAGGCTTGGCTGCAGGATCCCCCCAGTCCAGCAAAAGACTCAGCCACCGCGAAAGGCAGCTGCCACGGATGTTCAAGGCGGCGGCCATGCCGTCACTGTTCTCGCGGCCTCTAAAAGAGCGCTTCCGAGACGCAAAAACATGGGTTCCTATGAATAATTCAGAACAGAGTACATAATTCATGCAGCCATCTATATCCAGAATGTCATGGAGCGCCGGTTACATTTCTGCATTCCAGCAGACGGCTCACGTTTATACCGGTGAGCCTCTGCCCCGCTTTAAAACGGCGAGATGCAACGAAATGGCCCGGCACGGGTCGGACGAAACGCAGAGCATCTCCGCCTATGGTCGATGGGCATGCAAGCGAAGCAGTTAAGGAGACTGGCTCGCATCCACGAGGTTAAAGGTTCAAGTCTCGATGATTCAAATACAATAAAATTGCTGAATGATTAATAAGGGAGTAATCACAGAATGAATATTTAATGAATAGGCCCAGAAATAGAGCTTAAATGGGGCCTACAGATCTCAGACCAGGGCTCTGATGTGTTCACAATGCGTTCAAATAGTAAATCAGGCATCTGGCCGGTAAGGGCGTGTTCTTAAGGATTCTGGGCATGGAGAGGGAGGAGCGACTGTGCTGTATACCATTCTCTGGGTCTGCGGGGGGTTTAAAATTACCAGTGGGTTAAATACTAGCAGGCTCCACATCTACTCTTCTGCCTCGTCCTGGTCTTTCCCGAGACTCTAAAAACGGTTTGACATTAGCTGCCGTGGCGTCTGTCCAAACTTCAGTTCTCACTTTGTTTCAGATCATCTTGTAAAGTCGCTAAATGTTCATTAAGCTCTTTAGGCCACAAGTACTTCGGGAAGCAGAGCGAAACGGATCACTTTCCACCACATGAAGGATATAAATCACGCTACTGTCTTCATACAGTGAGCCTCTCTCACCTCCTCGATTCCAGGTGTCTCCCCCGCTGCCCTCTACGGAGGTCAACGACAGCAGGGCTAATGCCACCTGCGAGACCACGCGCTCAACCAGGTCCCGGGGGAGGCTGGCGCAGTTCCTGATGGCTTCTGTCCGCTGCCTGGGCTGGAAGCCCCGCCCCCAACCCGCTCCGTCTCCGTACTCCCCCGGTCTGGGCTGGTCCACTGCCGGAGCATCATTAGCAGAGACCCCTGCCCTGCTACTGATGAAGCATGACCTATGAGCCTCAATCTGGGCCTCCTTGTGCCGCTCGTAGCTCCTGGTTCTCCCGATGAGGCACACCTGACGGGGAAGCCACAAAATACTTATAATTATCTACGCTGAAAATGACCGTATTCCACCTAAAATGTGTATCACATGTTTTTTCTTGCTCCCCATATTAATCTCATTGGCCCAAAGAAGGAGTGTCACAGGCAGGACATAGCCTGCAGGCGGCCTCTCCAGAACATCCTGTGCTCTCCAACATGGCCTTTTAAATGCAGGAGCAGAGAGCACAAACATAAGCATAAATTTACGCTACTACTTAGCATATGTGCTGATGTAGAGAAAAAAGCAATAAAACAAAACATAACATAAGTACAAAAGCAGAAGAGGATGCATTTGGGTTTTTAGAATTCAACTGAACTCGGTAGTTTTTCATACAATAATTGAGGATGATCCTGAGCTGGAGGAAGTGGATTAGAGTTTATTTTTAAAACCAAGTAAACATTACTGTGTAACAAAAAATGTTTTTTTTTGGTAGGAATATTCCAAGTTGCGCTTTTGTGGATTTAGATGCAGCAGAAGTGAGTGTACTTAAAGGTCCGCTTTCTGCCCTGGATGCAGTTCGCTACATTGGCCAACAGGGCGGAGACTTTTACCAGATACCCCTAAGCACACGTCTTCATACTGCAAAACCCTTGACAAAGGAGGAGTTGGCTGCTGACAAAGTGCCCTCTTACCCGCTTGGTGGAGGGGATTCTCAGGCAGTCCTCCTCTACCTGGAACCCACACACGGAGCCGACCTCGGAGACAAAGTCAATATACTCCCTGTACTGGGAGACCCGGCACCGGCGTCGCTGGTACTTCCCACTGAAGTCGAAGAAGCAGCACGGAAGGACAAAGAACCGACAGGAGTAGGCAGACCTGTGAGATAGAACCATTTTACAACAATACATTCAGAATCCTGGACATACCCAACACTATTATAATGATTTAAGTCGGAGATGCGGGGGTATGTTAATATGAAACAAGACCAGAGAGCATTCGATAATCGCAGAAACGCAATGCCACGTCTCAGTTACGCATGTGAACTCAGCAGCACCACCTAGTGTCAGAGAGCTAGGATATTCTTAAAAACCAAAATTTATTACTCTGGGTGAAAGGGAAGAGGGGGGGGGGGAAAAGTCAAGAGATCGACCGGCAGCTGCAGAGAAGGAGCAGAAATGCATTCCCTGATTACGCGCCTGGAAGATATGACGGGTATCCATGGGGTCAGCTCGTCCGAGTGGTTGCCAATCAGCCAGTCTGCTTCAGGAAACAGGAAGCCGTCACTCGGGATGATTGCACTTTCCTTTAATAGAAGCAGAGAACATAGGGGCCACAGGTGGCTTTTAGCTCCAGACCGCAGACGCCATCTCATGCTGCATTATTTACTACACAATGGGCCGGCCATCACAGAGCCCCATCGTAACAATGATTATTTTCCCCCCAGAGATCCAGGATTTAAAATTTTTCCAATCCAGTATAAATCAATTACCCCGCATGCCATTACCAAATGGAACACATGAGGAGTATGAAAGACGAAAGGTGACCATGTGATCCACTCTGAAGAGTTTACATTTACATGTATTTAGGAGATGCTTTTGCCCAAAGCGACGTACGAGTGAGGCAAAGAGCGCAATACCAGCATGGCTAGGCATGAGTGCAGCTGGGCTGGGCTTCCACGACTCCATGACCTTTCATATGAACCTTGCATTTCACCTACATGCATAGCAAACCATCCTAAAATATATGCAGCCCTGAAAAAAAATGTCTTCATCCCAGTTTAGGGTTGGCCCACTTCTGCGACAACCTCAGTGCGGAGAAGCCAGCAGTACACGTCCCGCTACTGTTCATCCTAAAGGTGCTTCGTGTAGCCCACTGCTATTTTTGTTTTTACCCAGACATCCATGGGTTTTCCCATGACTTTCTGGCAGGACAGAGTCCATGTGCCTGTTCGTACTACACAGGACGCCTTGCCAGCCAGAAGTACTAAGAGGCTGTGGCTATATTTGACGTGGTTCACTCAGTCACTATTCCTTATATAGGAACACTATGAAGTTCACTACAAAGGGAATTAGGGAACATCATGTAGTTCACGATAAAGGGAATTAATCAGTGAAAAATAAGGGTTAAGACACTAAATTCCAAGATGCTATATGCATCCTAGCAAACAGACAGCTGACATATGCGAATAGCAACAACAAGGAAAAGCAATGGAGATAGTGAAAAAGAATGTGTAAACCTGCAATTTATTCAAAATTGTTGTTATTATTATTTACTTCACTTTATTGCTTTTATCCTTATGCAAAACTGATCTGTCAGCATCAGGCTTTGAAGAGATCATTAGCTTCCCTCTTGCACCATCTCATTTATATCATGAGTGGTCAGCTGACAACAGACATCACTGTTCCATTATATTATGGTATATAAGATATCAGTGATACACCCGCAGTGCATTGTGGGTAATTTAAAGTGCACTATATAATGAGTCAGATTAGCCAGCGAAAAAAAATCAAACAGCATTACAAAATGTCAGATACTCTATATAGTGAACTGTTTACAGAATTGGGACCGATTTCAAATATAAGCCATCGTGTGTCACATTCAGCCTCATTTAACACGGGGTTGGGGGCACGATGGAAGCCACAAGTTGCAGCTCTCTGAACATCTGCTGGAGATGAGGAAGTCACCCCCTCCTCTGGCAGTTCCATCCACAGCACTACGCTGTAAATAACTAATGGCTGGGAATCCTGAGAGGCCCATTGGCAATGACAGATGTGAGCTGTTACGACAGTTAGTTGCACCAAATAAGTCACCTTGAGTGAACTTATAAAGACAAATTCTATCAGTGCATGAATCTATAAAAAGAAAAGTTTAGTGGCCTTTCAAGTTTTCAAGCCCAAGTTGGTCCTTAGCTGTGGTCTAACTAAAGCCTTACCTCCAGTTGTGTCTGAGGACCGTACATGTCCCAGATCTTCCGTCTCCGGACATCGAGGCCCTTCCCGGGATACTGGAGTACGACACACAGACACAGACATCATTTAAGCATGGAAGGCCCTTCGATAGCGAAGGGGAGGGTCACAAGCAGTGCCACTACTCCCCGCTTCGCCCCGCTTAACTGACGACTGGATTGTGCTTCGATCGCAGATGAGTGAATGACCTTCACCGAACACAGCATTTCCTCTGAGGTGCTGGACGCCCCACTGCAAATTCAGCTAAGCAGTGAATGAAGTGTATGTGCAATAACTTCATATTTCAGGTTCCTATCCACATGTTTGTTGACTAAGTATGTGATGTACAATGAAACACTGGTTATGTTCTCAGCTGATGCTCAATGTAAAAGATTAAAAAACATACCCCTTCATTGCTCAGTATGTGAACCAGGAGTCCATTGCCACACCCAAGATCCACAAAAGACTGTTTAGACGTCAGTCCCCTCTCAGCCCGCTCCTCTTCCCACAAGACCTGGGTCATGGCAGGAAACAGAAGCCTTAGGAAAGACTCTCATCACATCTGTCCACTTTCATTTTTTGAAGCATTTGCTGCCCCCAGTGTCACTATCCAAAGGGATACCCATTCAAAATGACCTCACACTTTCGCCAAAAAAAACACTTAGCAAGGGAGAAGTTCCTGCTAATTCATTTGCTGTGCTTCACCCCGGGGAACACTGGGCTACCATGTGATAAGTTGCACACAGCACTAAGTTTATGCACTGAAATGCAAAGCAGAAGTAATGTTAAAACACAGAGATTTAAATAATGAAACTGGAAGCAGATAAACTAACTGTGATGTTTTTTTCCTACACAAATCATTAAAAGAACCTTATTTGTCAACAACTGGGGTTATCTTGTACTATGAAACATAAATCTGGAATTTATGCTGGCGCTGACATGTGGAAACTGCATATATCTAAAGCTACAAAGATGCACAAGTTGGTTTAAAGAGTACAAAACCCAGACTCCTAATGGAAATAGGCAATATGGTCTGATGAGTCATCTTTCAGTGCTTTTCCTACATATGTTTAGAGAAAGCCAACAGATGCCACAGCCCACAATGTCTGTTGGTATGGTTAGCTGTCTCGTGGAAGTCATTAGGTCCAGTGATTGCTCTGTGTGGTGATATTAAAAAAAACCTTAATTGTCAACAATCAGCTGAACTATGAAATATCTGTTGAGCCAGTATACTACCCTAAATTCACCCTAAGTTCTAGATGTACTCTCATTTGCTAAGTGATTTAAACCCAACTCACTCGTCCTAGCTCCAAGGTGCTTCACGTATTTTGTCCACCCCCTGTATGTGATGAATTCAGCTGCTCTCTTAGCCACAGACAGAAAAATAGATCTCAATCCTTCAAACGTACCAGCAGATATGTCGCAATGGCAACATCTTCATAAACAAACTTCTCAGGATCTGTCACTTCAGGCCAAACCTTGATAAGAAGTGAAATATCATAAATTCATCTCACAAACATCATAAAGGGACATTCTGTCACAGTGTCTGCTACAGAATATCTTAATGGAATATAAAACCATAAGAATCAAGATGGATCATGTGCAAAAACAATCAGAACTGTGACCCTCACAAGGAGAAGCAGTGAGAAAATGAGAATTTATAAAATTAATATATAAAATAAATGTTTTAAAAACAGTTTGCCTGAAAGCAGACGGGGCATTCTCAGGTCACGGAATCTAAAAGTTTGTACAATGTGGGGGCTTTTCTTTGATCTGGATGAAGTATTGAAATCCAAGTACGGTCTGAATGCCCTCCACTTATTTGCCAGCCAAAAAATAATATTTAAATGATATTTGTGTTAGTGTAAAATTATATGATGTCCATCAAAATGTGTCATCTTAGTCATTTCAAAACCTCTCCTAAAGTCATCCCCGTATCCGCAGCAGCCATCAGATACACCCAGGTATTTTGTGATTCGAACCCTACCCCACTTTGTTTGGCTAATACCTCACTGAGTAATTCAACATAATTAAATTAATTAAGCGAGCTGGTGCTCAAATTTAATAAATACATGGAATGGCCCTGAGGAGAGGTTTGGGAAGCAGAGCTGTATGCTTCTAGCCGTCTAACAAGATTTTGGTGATGTTTTGAAGAATAGAAGAAATTCTTAATTTGCATGTGTTCTAATATTAAATTGTGTTTTATTTCTGAGCAGATATACAGTACAAGTCAAAGGTTTGGAGACACTGAGCTGCCTACAAAGGAGACCGTTAGTATTGCATCACATGACCTGGCTACCTGACCCAAACATAATAGAAATGGTTTTGGAGGAATTTGACCAGAGTGTGAAGGAAAGCAGCCAATGGGTGCTCAGCATATGTGGGACCTCCTTCAGGACAGCTGGCAAAGCATCTCAGGAGGCCACCTCATGGAACTAGCATAGAGGAGACAGGAGGGGCAGCCAGTCCCTGGGGCCATTGGAGTTAAGGGCCTTGCTCAAGGGCCCATTGGTGAGATCACTCTGCCGACCCAGAGATTTGAACCAACAACCTTCTGAGTCCCATCAAATTATTTTTTAAATACATTTTTGGACAGTGCATAATCCATATGTGTTATTTTATAGTTATGTCTTTATAATTATTCTAAAATGTAAAGAATAGTAAACCTTTTAGTAAACATAAACCTTTCTATGGGTAGGTCTGTCCAATACATTTGACTGGTACTATATACATACAACCCAGATCAATAGCTTTAAACATTTTCTCTGACTGCCTATGACTTTTGCACAGTGCTGTATATTCTCGTCACCTTGACTATCTCCCTGTACTTCGCCTTCAGCTCTTGGTACAGTGGTCCATATTTCTCAATGGGGAGAAGGGACAAGGTGCTCTTGAACTCGCTCGTCTGACTGTCCATGGCCCAGCGCACCAGTCTGGGCAGCAGATCATCACCCAGCCAAGATAAACGGGGGTAGACCACGCCATCAGAGAACCAGTCATTCCCCCCCAGGGTGGATATAGAGATGGACCTGGAGTATAAAATGGTGGCAGATGATCCCACAGTTAGAGAAATATGTAACTGACAGGATAGAATTAAGTGATCAGTGGTCATTGTTGACACACCACAGCACACAGCGCACAACAACTAAATGTGTCCTCTGCATATAACCCATATGTGACATTGTAACATAGTACATAGTAGGGGGCAGCTAATTCAGTACCTGGGAAGCAGTGCTTGGGGACAGTACCTTGCTCAGGGTACCTCAATGGTGCCTTGCTGGTCAGGGATTCAAACCTGCAATCTTTCAATTATAAGTGCGCTTGTAATTGTTCCCTAACCATTAAGCCTTTAACTGGTATGGTAGTACACAGTCACCTCTAAAAGTGGTCGAATTACAATAGACATGATTTTTGCAACAGCGCAAATGCATACTTATTGTATGTGCATCACACTTTTTGACCTTTATATGCTAATTCGTACTTCATTTGCGACATAAAGGTCGATTCACGCTCGTTTTTAGAGGTGAGTACGTACTTGCTTACGCACAACACCAAACAGGCTGCGGTTAAGTGGCTAACTTACCCCGGTCCAGTACCATGCATCCCCGAGTTCCTGACTAACGCTGTCCACTTGTGATCGGATCAACCAGGAAGCGTGTTAATAGCAGGTGTGAACACGGCCTCTAAGTCTCTCCATTAGTAAAATCAGCCAACACTGGAGAAACGCGAGTATATAAAATATTGCACGATGCTTATCTACAGCATCATGACATACAGATAAAATCTGGATTAACCCAAATTCCACATCTGTAAATCCACAGATGGAATTTAAAATTCATTGTATATTTCACAGTTTAAGATGTGGTACATGCAAGTAATTTGAAGTATGTTTATTTAAAAAATAAATAAATCAGTCGTTAATTACTTTTCAAATACTGAATTTTACACACACTACAGTGTGTAGCAGTGTCTAGTAGAGAGTTTACAGAGAATGACGTGATGTTGCTGAAAACACCATGTTGAAGTGGGAGGTTGAAGGAGAGTGGCCAAGCTAATTAAAGCTCAAAGGAGCCGTGTAGAAAATGGTCCTTGACGTGGTTATGGAATGAATACGGGGTTCTACCTGGTAGTATGCAGAGGTACCTAATAAAGTGGCCACAGTGTGGGTTCGACTACATTAAACGTGCAATTGTTTTTTGCCCTCAAATTTAACACTGGAAGGCTCACCATTCGTCGTTATTTAGGTTGTTGAGCTGAATCTGATATACATTAGTTTTCCGAAAGACACAGTCTCCATCTGCACTTTCTTCGAAGGGCAAAAACGTCACACGTTTTCTTGGTAAGTCTAAAAAGACGAACAGAAGAGTAAAAGGGGGATTATTGGGTATCCAAGGCATTTAAACGGAGCGGCATGCACTTCATCTTCATGTGACTATGGGATGTTTTAATGGAATGACGCCACAGTAATACTTGCTGCACTCAATAACAAATACTTGCTGTCTGGCCCACATACTTATCAGCTAAGTAAAAATTATTCCAAAATAAGATGGAGACAACTCACCTTTTAGCATAATTTCTTTATGCATTTGGGTCCCATATGAGTTGACTTTAGGAATGATTGTTCTAACTTCGTAACACCAGTGTCCATTTTCAGTATCTAGGGGCTGACTCTGACATTCGTCGCCATTGTTCAAATAAAAGATTATGTCTTTTAACTGGTCGAAAGAAACACCCCATAAAACTGACAAAATGTGTTCAAGTTCTGTGCCATTCACTTCTTTATAATCCTCCTCTTTTACGCCACACAGTCGTTTATTCAAAACATGCGGTTTCTTAATCCACACGTCAACAGCAGACCAAAACCTAACTGGCAAGACGCAATCGGTGTCGGTAACAGGCAACTCACGAAGTTTCGGCATTATTAACAAATTGATCAAGCATGGATCCTAATGGAAACATAGCGACGCACAGTGATGACAAAAGGCAGCAAAGCAAGCAACCGAGACTGAAACGACAGAAGCCAATCAGAAGCCGCATAATGTGGCAAGACCACACCCCCTACACCTCGAAAGCGACTCCCTCATTTGTCGCATATTCGTGACGACATTTATTGCCAAACCTTGGTACGTTCAAGGCTTTAAGTATGTCAAAAGTGGGTGTTCGTTGTGTATTTGTTTTCTGCATTTAATCATCGTCAGGTTCAAATCGACGTGTACAGTATAACAATTCAATAACGGTATTTAAGAATTAATAACAGAAATTGTACCTGGTTGCAAGTCTGCAAATGTCATTCTCGTCACAATTTCTCCTGTATACCTATACCTTGCTGGACAGTAATAGCTTTTACGTGGAAATTTAAATACAGTAATACTTGCTGGCTAGTTTATAGCTCGTAGCTGTATCAGTGTTACCGATGTCACCTTGCGTATGGACCTTGTTCAGTGTATTGTGTAATACAGCCCTTTAAAACGGCTGTGTAAATTGCCTAGAATAATTAACTAGTCTCCGGTGGCAGGTGTACTTCAACAGTACCACTTTACTTCGCATTATTTAGCGTGGATGAGAACTGTCATTTTTAAGCAAAGTATACAATCATATCCCGAATTGTGTGACTGTCGAACAGCAGCTGGGAGTTTCTAATTTCAGTCACTTCTCTTTGCCTGTACAGTACGTTTAACTGTCTGCTGTTGTCGCTTTCCAGTAAAAGGCAAAGGGCAACCTGAGAAAATGAACCAAAACCTTCCCGATCTTCCTAGCGGACCCCTGGATGTGTATAGGAAAAAGGCATCTTTCAATTGGAAGGAAATGGCCACCTTTTTGGAGGGAGAAGAAATCATAGCATTCAAAGTAAGATCTGGCATTTTGCAACGTAACTGACTTCGGATTGTCTATGGTTTGATGTCGAATTAGTGATCTTAAGTTATCCAGAATGGATGCATTGTGGTGTTACTCTCTGCTGACAGAAGCACGTGTTCTCCGTCCTGGAGAACGACCCCATCTTCGCCCGACAACCGGGTGAGGACCTCTCCTTGGAGAAAATGCGGGAGATGACTTTCCGGCGCTGCAAGCAGCTTTTCAGATACGACCTTATCACCCGCGAAGAGGCCATGCAGAACCCATGGAAGACCACCGCGCTCAACGACTGTCTGGGCATGTACGACTGGTCTTTGGCGGCCAAGTATTCCCTCAATAAATGGGTGAGATCTCCGTTTTCCTTGGTCATCTAGACTACAGTGGAGTAGTAAGAAATTTATCTTTGGATGTACCATATGGGAAAGCGAGATGTACGAGAACTCAAGCGCAATAAAGTAACGCAAACGTGTAATTACTGTTGCTTTAATATCTTCACGGTCAAGTGTATGGCCAGTGTCATATTGTGCTTAGGGTTGCAAACTTTCAGTCTGAAGAAATAAGCGGGGTCGATCGCGCTGTCCCTATTAAATTGTCTGGCTCAAACTAGAGTCTGCTTGTTTCTGCGAAACTGAAGAAAGGGGAAAAAACAGTGATTTTATTTGGGTGTACAAGCTGACGTTTAGGTTGACATTTGCACAGCCTTGGCCATACTCCAGTTTTTTTTATTGTCAGATTAACCTTTGAAGCCGCAGTTGTTTTTTCCTTGTGTTTTCTGTTCTATGTATCTCAAATGTGCAACACAAAATAACATTTTGCATTTATGAAATTTCAATGTTTTTCCAGTTATCTGGCTATATGTAAGGGTTATTTTGTGCACAGCACAATGGGTTTTTAATCATTTTTTCCTTTCAGATGTTTGGTGGTACAGTACTCAATTCAGGCTCCAGTAGACATGAAAAATTTGTCCAGGATATTGAGAATATGATAGTAAGTATTTTTTATTTTTCCTGACAGCCCAGTTGTGAGTTTTTCTCTGTAATCCTGAAGTTTGTCTGGCCATTCCTTTGCATGCTGTTGTGTATCTCTACCCCTCGTTAATGTATCTGTTTGTAGATAACAGGACACAGTACTACTTAGACTGTGCATGTGTAGTCCAGATTTTGGCTCTTGTGTCTAGCGAACTTTTGTTGGTGGGTACGCGTCGACTGCACAAGTACAAGGAATAACTAGCTGATCTGGTGAAATATCAATGCATAGGTATGCACCAAGCATGACCGTCGGCGTACTCAGACAAATGTTGCACGTCCTGAGAAGTCCGCTTGCACAACTGCACGGATAGTAACGACACACGGAAAATTCAAGTACTATATGGGCCTCAGAATACACTTAAAGATCTTCACATTTCCATACAGCCTGACATAACTATGATAACTTTAAATCCTTTTAATCTTTTATTTCTAATGTCTAAAAATGTATTAGCGGATGAGTTTTGATACTGGTTTGATTCTGATTTTCTGCTGAATGCTTACGTTTTAAGTATTTTGTTTTTCCTCTCTTACAGATAAGATGTTATGCTGTTACGTAGTATGCCTGCCCTGACACTGTGCTGAAAAATATCTATCTATTCTAGACCTTTGGATGTTTTGCCTTGACTGAGCTGAGTCATGGCAGCAATACAAGAGCAATGAGGACCACAGCCACGTATGAGCCTGAAACTCAGGTTGGTGTGGAGACACAGACACCTGTGTTATCTTGGAACTGGTATCAGAAGCTAGTGCATGGTGGAAATACAAGGTGACTTGTGCAGGAAATTGCTATTGAGACAATAGCCCTGGAGGCAGAGATAGCATTGGATTTAATCTCTGATCCAGAAAAACTCAATAAAATCAGTATGCACAGTATTTTTATAACTGAGAAATTGTGTCGGGGATGGCACAGTGGCTTACTGAGTAGCACTGTTCTGTCCTCCCACCTGTAGGTTAGGGGTTTGAAACCCGCAGCCACTGCCTATGAGGGGTTTGCCTGTTATTCCTGTGTTTCCCCCTGCAGTCCAAAGACGTGCAGTTAGGATAATTGGTGATTGTAATTTGCCCATAGTGTGTAACTGTGTTTGCATATGTGTGCCTGTGTGTGTCCGGGGACTGACTGGCATTCTGTCTTGGGTGTTCCCTAGCTTTGTGCCTTGTGGTACCTGGGATGGATGGATGGAATTGTACTGAGCAACTATTTATAAACTATGAATAATTTATTAATATTATACTTAGAACATATGCTTGAGACATATGTGTGAAGTCCTTCCATAGTGAGAGAGAACTGGGGAGAACTTTGTGATTACTTCACGTTTACTAGGGCATTATTAATTAGCTGGCATATCAGTTCATGTATGAAGTAACTGTGAATTAACATTCCTTAACTGATGACCTTTTAAGCGTGAAATAATCACATAAAGACACAGTGACATCATCATTAGTTCATGGTGAGCAATAAATAATTAAGAGTCAATAATTAATTAAGCATAATTTAAGTATATGATATGTATCCTTATTATAAAGTGTTACCATGATTACTGTAGTAATTAACCATGTTCTCATTGACCCACCAAGAGACCAGATGACTTCTTATGGTAGGTCCATTCTTCTGAACACTCTGGTTCTGTTGTCTCGGGTCCTTTACTGACCCCGTGGGCTGGATGAGAATGGCATGGTTCTGGCTGAAGTGAGAAGGAGGCTTCAACCCCTGTATGACACCACAGATGGTCCTGTTGCAGGGATGATGTGAATTTTCCTCTAGGGGGAAAAAAAACAATGAACAAAAAACGGCATCGGTTGTATTGAATTATGTCACAATACTACAGGTTCCCCTAAACCATTCAATGTCAAGCACAATGTTCTTGTTGTTAACAAGCCTTTTGACAGTGTGCCTTTTGTATATGGTTGATCCTGAGGGAAAATTTGTCATTGCATGGATTTGTGAGTTTTTTCCCCCCCCAGATTCAGTTGCTCACAGTATGGCTTTATGTTTTTCTGTATGTATTAAGAGCTGTTCCTCTATATGGGAGCAGATTTTTCCTCAAAATGAGGAAACAATGCAGGTAAATATTTGCTTCTTTATTGCAGGAGTTTGTGATCAACTCCCCAGACTTTGAGGCGGCTAAGTTCTGGGTGGGGAACCTGGGGAAGACGGCCACCCACGCTGTGGTGTTCGCTCAGCTGTTCACGCCCGACGGCCGCTGTCACGGCCTGCATTCGTTTGTCATACAGGTATCCCAGCTACGAGCTCTGGCGGCCCACGGGACAGCAGCTGTAACATTCGGGGCCAACCTTTTCCGTGATTGCAATTTTGTGGCTTGTTGAGTCCGATGAAGTCTGGATTTTTGACCCGTCAGCACAAATACTCAGACATCTGTATTGAACTGATTTCTGAACTCTGTTTTGACTATGTAATACAAGATTCACGATTCAGAGGTTCTGTTTTCATTCTGTTGCATGCAACATGATTACGCTGGTGACTTCCAAAGCCGATGCAATACAAATATGGACAAAATAGTATATAAAAGATGTAAACAATGTGCAACTACACTGCGACTGGACTCTCTCAGAGGTCCTTCTGCTGATGTGCTTTCCTGGATGTACTTGTGTGGTTGAAGGCAACCCACACGCTGCAAAGGAATGAATTTTGCTAGCGTGATGAAGCATCGAATGTGTAAATCTCTGCCCTGGCACAGGTGAGAGATCCCAAGACGCTCCTGGCCACGCCTGGCGTGATGGTCGGAGACATAGGCAAAAAGCTCGGGCAGAACGGACTGGACAACGGGTAAGAAGCTGAAACGGTGAAGTCCATTAAACTTCTGACATTTATAAGAAGTAGCTCATCCCTCCCACTAGGTGGCAGTGCATCTTCAGGGGAGCTGACTGCTTCAATTTGGGGAGAAAATGGAACGTTTTTTCCTGATTTTCGCATGTATATTCTTTCTATATCAGGTAGTTAAAGGCTTGTGGTATTCAGAATTATAAAGTGAAGCTTTATCAATTGTATGCGTGCAGTAGAAACTGTTCTATGCATTTTGGAGAAATGCCCAGTTTGTATTTGAATGTGTGGACTGGAACATTCCAGCACAGCATCAATGTCCTGAATGCCTGCTGTTAATCTGCATGTTGATATTTGATCATAACCTTTACATCCCTGCCCTGTTGGATTCTAATCCACCACATGCTTGCTGCTGAGCTGAATGGTGGGTAAATGCTTCCTGGGAATTGTATCAAGTCACCCTGTGCTGACTGTGGATTGTATGCCAGGAAACTCAACCTCAAAAATGTAGAAGATAAGACCTCATTTATTTGCAGGAGGAAGCTTTGAAATATTACGTGTGTGCAGCGGGTGCTATTGCAGCAAGTGATTCTACACATGGAATAATCATTTTTTTTGGTGGAATTCTCCTTTAAGAAGCAACACTGTGTAAATCTGTCCAGCTGGAAAGGGCAGGCTAAGGAAGTTCAGTGTGGAGTCTGAGGGTGAGAGCAGGTATTGTGAGGGTGACTGGGAGCCAGAGCCAGTAAGGGAATACAGTTGGTTAGGTTAATTGGTGTCTCTGAATTTGCCTGTAGCATGTGTGAGTGTCTGCTCTGTGATGGACTGGCATCCCACCCATGCTGTCTGGGATAACCTGCAGGGTCCCTGTGACCCTGTAATGAAAATGCGGAAGATGGATGGAGAGGTGGTAGCAGGATCTCTGGGAATCGATGGACCCGGTTTTCAAGTGTCTTATTCCTCATTTAGCAGCTTTTTAAATGCAGTTTTGGGTAGTTGATCAGAGATCTAGCTTTTGCAGCTATTGTAGTAAATTTATCAGTTTTCCCTCCATTTTTGTCTGTCCTGAGTCTGACCACCTGGCACAATATGTCTGATTAGTCCCGTTTCAGTTCCCTTTCCATTTCGTTTCAGTTAATGTTTGTACTTTAAAAACACGACAACTGAGCATCCCAGTGTTGATTTGACCTCTGGCCAGCCTTAAGACCTTTCCTCTTTCCAGTCAATTGTTTCTAGCTATTTTCAAGCACTGCTGAGGTATTTTTCTGACCGCAACGTTATTGACTTGCTCTCCGTCGCGAATTCCACAGGTTTGTGCTTTTTCACAATGTCCGAATTCCTCGGGAGAATCTGCTGAACAAGACGGGGGACGTCACCCCCGACGGCCGATACGTCACGCCGTTCAAGGTGAGCGGCGAGCCGTCTGCCCCGCTGGGTATTCCTTCACAGCCTGTTACTCACAGACACTTTACCGTTCCATATACCTAGTATATCTTTTGCGGGAAAGTCGCTCCCATCTTTTTTAGTGAAACACTCCGTCAGCGATGGCGTTCTGGGGTCTCGCTCCAACGACAGGGTGTCAAACAAAAACACGGTGTGAAAACATGCCTCGTCCAAGCCTGCACGCCTGAGCGCCCTGGGAAAAAGCCCTCCAGTGTAGTGGGCGGACCTGGACGTCCCCTCTGTCAGCTTATAAATGTCCTGGGTCAGTTTGGGCCTGGGGGCCACAGCAGAGGGGGGGTTCCCAAGAAAACAAACTCGTATGGGAAGCACCAGCTACATCTCATGATTTGCCAACTTTCCCGAAACCTCTCCATTTGTTTATTTGACGGTTCTGTGCGTGTTTGTTGGGTTTATTTTTCTATTTTTATTTTTTTTAATTCCAGGATCCCAGTAAGCGGTTCGGGGCATCTTTGGGGGCGCTGTCGGGGGGCCGGGCGTCCATAACACGTATGGCGGTGATCAACCTGAAGCTGGCTCTGACCGTGGCGCTGCGCTTCTCTGCCACCCGCCGCCAGTTTGGCCCCACAGACGACCAGGAGATACCAGTGCTGGAGTACCAGCTGCAGGTGGGCCCAGGCGCTTGGCTGACTTTGACCTTATGCATCCTGCTTTTATCTTAGATGACGTTAACTGCAGCTTATTTAGTGCAGTGATCCATTATCCTCTGCATCACTTGACTTTATATTATTCTCTATATCCCCGTATATTATGCAGGTTTAAGGCTTTGCCTGCATGCAAAGGACATTATCCTAACGCAGTGTTCTGAATCCAGTCCTCAGTGATCTACAGACGGTCCACGTTTTTGCTCCCTCCCAGAGCAAAAATGTGGACTGTCTGGCAAGGAGCTCGGAGGGAGCAAAAACGTGGACCGACTGTGGGTCCCCGTGGACCAGATTGAGAAGCACTGTCCTAAAGCAATACCATTTATGCATCTCCCTTGAAGGGTCAACCGGCTCATTCTTTTAACTTGCGGTTCCGTAATTATTATGCCACCTGCTGGCCAGCCTTTGGAATTGCTTCTCCTTCAGTTCATCGGGTGCCCTTCTGTTTCTCCTGCAGCAATGGCGTCTCATTCCATACCTGGCTGCTGTGTATGCACTGGACCATTTCTCCAAGTCCCTCTTCAAGAACTTTGTTGAGTTCCAGATTGGTCTCATGATGAAAGATAACAGTGAAAGACAGGTATATGCTGGGGTGGGCTACACACACACACACACACATTTGTATTCACACCTTTGTGGGGACCATCCATTCCTATGGGCAAAACCCTAATCCTAACTATGACTAGCTTAACCCCTACCAGCCCTAACCTTAGCCATCATAACTAACCAAACAAAATGCTAGACTTTTGGCATTTTTAGTTATTTGATTACAATCACCGATTGAAAAACTGGCCGCAACAATGTTAAAATAACAGGTGGGAGGGCATTTATATACATGAGGCACACACACACACACACACACACACACACAACCCAAATAAATGTTGATTATTCAGCAAATAAAATGTAATTATTTTAAAATGTTATTGTCATATAGTACAGGCATATCGTGTAATTTTGAAATGGATCTGCCCCCACCTCAAACCCCCTGCACAGTTTAGTTTTCTTTTTTCCCCTCACCTGCATCCCCTCTGCAATTCCTTCACAGCCCACCAGGCGGGCGTGCCCCGCAGTTTGAATACCTGTGTATTAAATATAGATTCATACATACAGACAAATGCACGAATAGAACTGTGTGGGAGTATTGTGTATAGAAGAATATATGACCAATTATACACACTCTGTTTGGGAAGATGCAATAGATATATATTTAAAAATCCATCCATGCATGCATGCATCCATCTATCTTCCAACTGCATATCCAGTACCTGGGGGGCTGGAACCTGCCTCAGACAGGGGACTCCCCAGATGGGAAGCTGCAGGACACACAACACACACTAATGCACTGTGGGTAATTTAGTGAGGCCAGGTCGATTGAGGAGATAACATGCCAGCTTCAGACGCTTTGCAGGGGAAGGATTAACAACAAAAAAGAATATAAATCAGCATATAATTTAATTATTGTAGTGGAAAATGTAACATTGGTAAATGTTTTCTGGGTGACGTCCTGATGAATGATGACGATTAAGTGCGGAGAGGTGGGAGATCCGTAAGCTGCTGGTCACCCCGAGCGCGTCTCTCTGCCCGCCTGTTTTCCAGGCAGAGCTGGGCCGGGAGATTCACGCCATCTCATGCTCCAGCAAGCCCCTGGCGTCCTGGACGGCCCAGCGAGGCATTCAGGAGTGCCGAGAGGCCTGCGGCGGCCACGGCTACCTGGCCAGTAGGTGGCGTTTTATCCTCATTTGTGAAAAACGCGCATTTCCGAAAAATCCATTTCTGCATCGTGAAAAAGCGCATTTTTTCAGAAGCCGCTTTCCAAAATGCACCTAAAACGACGCTATGAGACACGCTTACCGCCACAAATACAAATCTGTCTTTACATAGCTGTCAGTAAATGGTTTAATGTGTTAAACAAGATACAAACTAATCTCCACTTTATAGTACGTTATAGTATAGTAAGATTAACATCAATGTTAGTTAGCTACTGTATCTAGCTATCAACATGAAGTTGTTAAATTTAGTTGTATATAGCAATCCATACCAATGACCATCACGAGTACAAATATTAACTAGTACAAACATAAATGTAATTGCTAGTTAAATAGATGACTCAGTAAAACATCTTTTTATTAGTCAATTTGATGTCAAACGCTATCAGTAGACAAAGGAGAATGGGCATATTCCATCTATAGTAAAAGGTCATCAAAACAATTATCAAGCTGCCTATCTCTCTCTCTCACACACAAATACACACACGCAGTTTTGAAATGCGGTGTGTTATGAATAAGAGTAGAACGTGTACCTGTACTGAAGATCATGTAAGGTGACAGGTGTCAGGGTCTTTTGTTTAATTGGGACTGTCACCGAAGGAGGGGTTTTCTCCTGAGGCCCGCCGGCTTGACAGGGACGCACTGTGCTTTCAGTAAGCCGTCTCGGGGACATCAGGAGTGACAGTGACCCAAACCTCACCTACGAGGGAGACAACAATGTCCTCCTGCAGCAGACCAGTAACTACCTGCTCAGCTGGGTCAGCATCAAACATCAGGGTGAGCATTTCCACCGTGGCAGCCATCACAGAGATGTAACCGCAGACTCGATGTCAGGTCATCTTTCATCCACTCAGGACTGGACAGACAGACCGTCAAAGTGATTCTGATTCAGTCACATTTTTGTTCATGCGCAATTTTATCGTTGCCTCCTGCTGGTCAGTGTCATTGCTTTCTTTCTTTTTTTTTTTTTTTGGATCTCCCCGCTGTGCAGAAAAACGGAGGATAGAATCCCCTGTACAGTCTGTGGACTTCCTGGAGGGCTTCAACAGCATCTTACAGGACAGGTTCACTGCCGCCTCGGAGGAGGACTGCATGGATTCGGCAGGTATACTGTACCTCGTTTCGGCGCACAGCTGCCTCCGAACTTTGCCAGCACACCTGTCAGAGAAAGTGGCGCTGGCTTTGCTAGGCTTCAACCCTGCTGCCCCAAACTTTTGTCTTTTATCTGCATTGTCGTCTTGCTGTCTGGTGTTGATTTTGCATGTCTGGATATGTGTATAGGAACAGAGCTTATATGGCTCTTTGATTTTGAGTTGAGGATCATGGTAGTTTGTGGCCCTTTGTGGTTCAGGTTAAGGAGGTCAGCTACCTCTGTAGCCTCCTCCTGCTAACACTGGTTTAGCTTGCATGCTTTTCTGGTGGATTGCATTGGCTGGTGGAACATCTGTCCCCTTTTCCTCCCAAACGGTGCCCATTTCTGTGTGGTTTGGAATGTGCTGGTTGTCAGCATGGTGCTGTTTTGCTGCTTGGTTTATATTTCCAGTATTTCCAGAATGTCACGGTGTTAGGTAGTGTTAGTGTAATGTTCAAGGAGTAGTTTTGGCTTTCAGTTCTGGAACATTCCATAACCTTGTTCTTTTTTCACGTTAACCATGTTAACCAACGTCGCTTGTATGTGAAAAAGAAAATATTATCAGTATATCATTACCCCAAGTAGCAATTCATCTACCAAGTGAAGATAGTCCATAGACTGTAATACAGGGAATTGACCAGGATGATTTCATAAAATCATATGACAGGAGCATTTTGTAATTTCTGTTTTCCCTGTCGGTAAAAATGCATACAGACCTTTGTTCAGGTTTCTCCACGGATGTTAAACATCTGCTCCCTTTGTCACAGATGGTGACTCACTCCTGTCGCTTAGCAACAGAGGTCATGCAGCCCGTCTGTGTTCTATTATGGTAGTTGCATGGTTCTGCAGTGGCCCCTGGCCACCCCCCTACCTCACTGGTCACCCGCTGGCTCTGAAAGTAATGCATTGTAGGTCTGACAGGCTGTGCGCTGTAGAATGCTGTGTTTCGGTATGAACGCTGAAAATAAGCTAATTTAAGTGCTGCTCTTTGCATTGTAGACATTTTTGTAAATCGTTTACTCTCCTTAACGCAAGCTAACAGTAGCGTAGCTAGAAACTCTGGGCCCCCTGACAAAATGTCACCTTGGACACCCCCATCCAACTTTACCTGCAAGTTTACTGTACATATGCCCCTATAAAGTGCTGGGCCCCCTGAATCTGCCAGGGCATTGTTACTTCACCCAGCTCTTCTTCGCACAGTACCGCTGGCGGCCTACAAGTGGCTGGTGTGCTTCCTGCTCAAGGAGAGTCATACCAAGCTGGCCCAGGAGAAGTCTTTGGGACTCGGGGACTTTGAGGCGAGGAACAACAGCCAGGTGAATGGAATTAAAAATGTCAACCTGTGGAGCAGAATCCACGCAGCAGCTTTTTGTTACGGCATAACCTGCCCCTCCTCCCAAATCACCCATATAACTAGTGATCCATAAAATCACCTATATAGGGGAATTTTTCAGAAACCTGTCAGCCTGTCTGTATTATGTATAGCAGCAAAGCAATGTGTTTAATCACAAACACATTCGTTTTGCATGCTTTAATAGTTTCAGTCTCTTATTTTTGCCAGTTTAACAAGGACAGAAAGTTGAAGCACAGTGCTCCAAGCAGATGGGCCTCCAGGAACCAAGCTTATATACATTGTGGTTTAAGTCCTTCTTGAACTGAAGCCTCCTTAGAGTGGCTGAAGCTGTGCTGAAGCAAGTGTGCTGTGCTGAAGCAGTGTGATGCACATTAAGAGCAGTAGCTGGGGACCAAACACCTGTGTGTGAACATATCAAAGGCTGAGAGACAGGTCTGCATTTGATCCTCCTCTGGTCCAGCTGCTCCACGAGAGAGGAAACAATTCCTTTGCTTTTATCTGTGGGATTCCGGGCCCCATCTGGGAAGCCGGGGAAGGCGGTGGTGTTGGCACTGGTTCAAAGGTAGCCATGGTGCTTAGCTGAGCCGATTCCCAGGTGTGATGAAAGCCGGCAGGGTCATGCCCACCTGACAGGCCACGAACCCCCCTCAGCCTCGTCTTTGTGACACATCCCTGTACGGAGGTGCTGCTTTGCTAGCAAAGTGCGCCTTAAACTAGAGGTTCCCAACAGCTAGTGTTCCAATGGGCCGCGGAGCCCTGGGAGGTGGGGGAGAGGGTTTGGTTAATTTCCAAAAATAAAAACCATACATTTTCAAACCATCTGAAGAAATTGGAAACGGTTAAGCTTATTAATTCACCGATGGATCTGCCGGCACCCCCACCCCCCAAAACTGGATGAGAAGTTTTACCAGTCCATGAAGTTTTTGTATGAGTTTAACCGGTCCGCAGACATCAAACGGTTGGGAAGCCCTACCTTAAATGCACTGTGTAGGGTAAAGGTTTAAGATAGAAGACAAATTAAAAAACAAACTAATCTTTTTGAAACTGGTGCCACCTGGGTTACTGTCTAGTAATTCCATGTGCTTGTGGAACAACCCTCCCCCTGACCTGTGATGTCTAGTTTCCAGTTTTGAGCCTCATGCCTCCTTTGATATCCCTGTTGACGCAGGTGTACTTCTGCCGCTCGTTAGCCCTGGCCTATGTCGAGCACACGGTCCTGCAGCGGTTCCATGACTTCACCCGCGATGCAGAGACTCCGCTCAGCCTCCGGCCTGTGCTGCAGCGCCTGGCCGCGCTCTATGGCCTGTGGAGCCTCGTCAACCACATGGGCACTCTGTACCAAGGTAGTGTCCGGCTATCCCCACACTCTGTACCAAGGTAGTGTCCGGCTATCCCCACACTCTGTACCAAGGTACAGTCCGGCTATCCCCACACTCTGTACCGAGGTACAGTCCGGCTATCCCCACACTCTGTACCGAGGTACAGTCCGGCTATCCCTACACTCTGTACCGAGGTACAGTCCGACTGTCCCTACACTGTGTACCGAGGCACTGTCAGACTGTCCCTACACTGTGTACCGAGGCACT